ACCATCTGTAATGAGATTTGATGCCCTCTTCTGATGTGTCTGAAGACAGCTACAGTGTACTCATAAATAAAATAAATAAATCTTAAAAAAAAAAGGAAAGTAGTGATCTCATAGTTGATTTAACCTGTGGAAGTAGATCTAGATGACTTTTGTACTTTGAAGAAATCTTAAAAATTAAAAAAAAAAATGTTGGGAATATATCATGAGTGTTAGAGAGAAAAGGAGACATTTAAACAAAAAGGTGAAAAATTTTGGGTTGAAAAGCGAACACTGTTGTTTTAGGTCTTCCTGTTGAGGGAAAAGGCATTAATGGCGGATTTAGAAGTAGTGGAGTAGGGGCCTGCTCTGTCATGTGGTGGTCGGGCTACTATGTGGTGGCTGGGTACTCTAGCAGAGAGGCCAAGGAATTCCCCATTTGTTTTTCTTAGGCATCCTAAATGTAGAGAAGAAAAAGAAGTCTAACCTTGAAGAAAAGCTCAAAGCAAGAAACATAGGTGTTTGATAGGAGAGTCAGAAGGAGTAGAAGATTGTGTAAAACTGAGCCATGGCAGGGAGACATGTGGAAGCTGGTGTATAGCCAGCAGCTCCTGGGAGAAGCTCGCAGGAGGCAAGCAGTTTCTCATGGCTCACCCTGGAGTTTTTAGTTGCGAGAAAGAAACTGTGAGGTACACAGGGGCAAAGGGAGCAGAGGCTTAGACCCTTTGCTATCAGGCAAGTCAACTGGGCTGTAGCTGGCCGCCACAAAGAGGCTCAAGAAATACAGAGGTTTCATCTACCTATGACTCAGGTTGTTGCTTTGCTTTATTTCTGGTATTGAAACCCAGGCCTCGCTGGGTGGTGGTGGCGCACGCCTTTATTCCCAACACTTCGGAGGCAGAGGCAGGCAGATTTCTGAGTTCGAGTCCAGCCTGGCCTACAGAGTGAGTTTCAGGACAGCCAGGGCTACACAGAGAAACCCTGTCTTGAAAAACAAAACAAACAAACAACAACAACAACAAATAAAGAAACCCAGGCCTTACACATGCTAAGCAAAGTCAGCTAAATCCCCAGCCTACCCACAATTCCTACCTTCAGTCTCATAAAAACACAGAAGTAATATCACAGAAGTAATACTTTTGAGCCTGTAAACTCATTAAAAGTCTTAGGGGCTTTTATCCTAAGGTAATATAATAAGTTTAGCTGTATAGAGTAAACTTTACCTCCTACTTTAGGAACTTCAAGTTCATTTAAAACCTGTTATATAGTCTTCGCTATTTCCTTAATGACATGTATATTTATGTCCTATAATGCCATTTTGAATTTGATAAACTCCAAAGAAGTATACCATCAATAGGTACAAATAAAGAACAGGAAGGAATAATGTCTTAACAAGGACACCAAGCTAGGCACAAACCATTTGGAGGGCAGAAGAGGAACGAGAATTCCTGTAAAACAAAACAGAGAAGTGAGGCTCTGAAATGACATTAAAGGACTTGACTGATAGGTCAAAGCAGCAGTCAGAAAATAAAGCCTATGCCTCATCAAATAGGTTGGATTTGAGAATCTCTGGAAATATTTTGCTCTCTAAAAGTAATAATAAACTTTGAATCATTCCTTTATAGTCTGCATAGTAGAACCTACTTTTTATTCTCTATTAGAGCCCCATAATGATTTCTAGTGCATTATTTGGTTTTGTTTGTTTGATTTTTCAAGACAGTGCTAACTATCCTGGAACTCAATCTGTAGATGAGGCTAGACTCAAACTCAGAGATCCACCTGCCTCTACCTCCCAAATGCTGGAAATAAAGGCCTGCACCACTATGCCTGTAAAGCTAGTTCTTGAGAGTCCATTTAATTTTTTTACTTCTGCATGTTCATAGCATCAGGACATGCACATACTCAAATGCCTCGGCACATGTTGAGGTCAGAGGACAACTTTCAAGATTCAGTTCTCATCTATCATGTATGTTCTAAAGAACGAGCTTGGATCCTCAAGACTGTGCAGCATGCACCTTTGTCTCCTGAGCCATCTGCCATCCCCCCATGTTATTTATTGGTTGATCTAATTTGCTCTCCCTTTAGGGTGCCCTGATTTATTCTTTGCATCTTTCCATTTGTCAGCTTGTTTAAACTGCATTGCATGGTATTTACCATGAATAATAGTATGCTTTTAGTACCTCTTTCCGAAAAGAAGTTAGAAATGTTAAAATTTCAAAAATAAGGTGTATACAGAATGTGAGAATTCTCAGACTTTTTACAATTTCAAAGCAAGGTTAGAATATATAAAGGTGTATATGTAAACTAGCATTCCCAGTAACAAATGTAGTAGCAGATGAAGTCTTCACAATAAAATCTTATCAACCTCCCAGCATCATAGACACACCATTTTGTGCCTTTCAGAAGTCTTTTTGAAAACTGAATGGGCTTAACAGTTTTTAGAATTTCACACACACACACAAACCAATGGTACTAGTTGGCAGTGTGTTAGTTCTCTGAATATGAGAATTATTTTTCATTAAGTTCCTTGCTTTACTTTGGTTTTTGTAAGTATTAGGGATCCAATATAAAACCTCATACATGCTAGGAAAGTGTTTTCTACCCAAGCCATGAAATTCATGAAATTCTTTTTTTTTTTTTTTTTTTTTTTGGTTTTTTGAGACAGGGTTTCTCTGTATAGCCCTGGCTGTCCTGGAACTCACTCTGTAGACCAGGCTGGCCTGGAAATCAGAAATCCACCTGCCTCTGCTTCCCAAGTGCTTGGATTAAAGGTGTGTGCCACCACTGCCTGGCCATGAAATTCTTTAAGTTGGGAGAATATTCACTACACAATATTGGGTTTAGATGCATTGATGAAGAATCAGATTATCAGTCTATGATCAGGCCTGTCACACACTTCTCTCAAGTCATGGAACTAGGAAGAAATTTTGAATCCAGCACAGATTTAGTGGCTTCAGTGTCAGGCACTGATGGTACTAAATCTTCAGCGTGATTTTCTGGTCTTCTCTGGGCCTTGGTTTTTGTTTTGCTTTATAACGGCGTCACTGTCAGCCGTGACCCCACTTGGTTCTGGCTCCATATCCTTTGTGACCCTCTCCCTCAGAGTTGCTTTATGGACAAGGTTGGATTTGTTTTTTCTTGCACAATTAAAGTTCTGTAAAGTATCATAAATCCAACTCAAATGTCATGCCAGAATTTTCATAACCGGTGGCCAGGTTAAGCACATAGAGATATACTCTCTGATATAAAATATTAAACTAAGATCAAATGTGAGACAAGAGTGTTCAATATGGATGATAAATTTTTTTCTAAAATAAAATTTATAAAATTGGTTAAAAAATTTGCAAGCGCATTTGTAGAACTATCATTTTTCTATGCAAAAGAATTATTGTAGCTTCGACAGTTTTAACCAAACAGTATGAAGGAGGGAAACCACCAGAACTACGGAAATCTAAGCCAAGAGGCTTCCTGGGTAACTTAGGAAAGTCAAATTTTAGAACTGTCAATGATGATAAAGCTGGGATAAAATTAAATTAATTTGAACAGTTTTACCATTAAGAGGACCATGTTAGTAGGATTTCCATTGCTATTCCTGAGAGAGATCAACTTTTAATATGGGAAGATTTGACTTGGGCTCTCAGAAGCATAAGTCCATGGTTCAATGGCTCTGTTGTCTTGGGTCTATGATGAAGCAGAGGATCATGGCAGGAGTGTGCAGAAGGGAACACACATTCACATCACAGAGGCCAGGAACAAAGAAAGAGAGGAAAGAGTCTTAGTGTTTCATGAGCATGCCCCTGTGGCCTCACGTGCGCTCTCTAAGGTCTGCTTCAGAAAGGGGAAAAGATACAGCCGGCTAGGCTTAACAGTTTTTATAATTTCACCAAGAAAATGGTATTAATAAAGTTAATCAACAAAAGGCTAATGATCTTCCTTGGCTCTAGATCCATTCCTAACTGGGGTTGACTATTGTAAGGACTCTGCATACTGCAAACGCTTGTCCACACTTACGCCATTCCAAAGCTGAGCAGCTAGTCCCATTGCATTACCAGTGTGTCTCTTACTAATTTCTCAGTAATGTTCCCTGTAGAATACTGCTAAGTTAACAAGAAAGGACTTTACTTCCTCACATCTACACACAGTATGCTGCTTCCCTTGACCTCCTCGGGCTCTACTCTGAACCCCAGTGACGTTACACATCTAATATAGGGGCACTGCTTAGCATGGCATAAACAAAAGACTGAGAAGCTAACACCATATGCTTTATAGTATGGTGAAATTTTCCCATAAAATCCAATTTTGGAGTCTTACATCTGTTAGAATTAGAATCTTTTAGGTATAATTCTGCTAAAATTCAACTGTTTGATATTTTTATTAAAGTATATTAACTTTGTACTATCAAATATATTTACTGTAGCTGCTTCAATTTCTTTGTTTACCTTCAATGACCAAGTGGTGGGGGGAGGAAAACTTTCTATTTGCCCTCATTATCCGTGGGCCATTGGTCAGTTTCTGGTCTGAGATTTCTTCTGAGTATTATGTTTTAACATGAAATATAATTTTGCTGGAGTTATTATCTAGATTCTTAAAAAATATTTCTCATCTGACAGAGCTCTTTAAAGGCACGCATTAATGGACACCATAAAACAAGTTTCCTGGCAGTGCTAACTATGCTCCATAAACAACATCAGCTTCGGAAACCTGGGCAGTTCTCAAAAATAACTCTAGCTTGTGTCAAATTGACTAAGACCAGCCAGCACAACTAAATATCTTTCTCTTTTAAAAAAAATTAACTATTCTAAGTAATTTGTCTTAATCTTAGCACAAATGAATATTCATTTGTTTTCCATAGCTCTTAAGTCTGTAATACTCAACGAGTTTTTAACTGAAATGTGATGCACTTATCTAAACACTTCCATAAGGGAGCCTTAAACCGTTTCCCTTGTTGCTTTTTGACATTTGTTCAGCCAGTTTCTAAGGTTGCACGAATGTTTTCTGACACACTTGTCTTCTTACACCCTCAGTAACCGTGTAGAAGCATGGACAAGAGAAGTTGAGTTCTTGCTCCGACAAGAAGGCAGGCCCATGGTTAATCTTATCCCTGATAAGTACAGAAGGAGAGTGATGGGCAAGGACTGGCAGAGCACAGACAAAGCAATCGACTGGCTAAAGCAGGTTAACAACACCAAACCATTTGTCCTTTACTTGGGATTGAATTTGCCACACCCTTACCCTTCACCATCTTCAGGAGAAAATTTTGGTGCTTCTACATTTCACACTTCTCTTTACTGGCTGGAAAAGGTAAGTATTCCATGTGTGCTCAAACGCAGGCACTGCCATATGCAAAGCCACCTAGCATTAGCTCATTCTTACTTTTATTATTTTTATAGAAAAATTAGGAACGTATACTTTTAAACTAAGCCAGTAATGAATTAGTTCAAGGGATAATATTTTTGAGATAAAATGTTAGAGCTTGCTAACTGTATAGATGTACATGTGATTATATCTATAAAAAGGAACTAAAAAACATTATCTTTCGAGTGCAGGCAGACCTCACTTCCCCCAGTTCAGGATGATAAAAATAACCATATAGAATGAAACTACAATAAAAAAAACCAATATTAATTGTCAAAGAAAAAGATTATCTTTTTCTAGAAATGTTAAAAACATCTGACAAAATATTTAAAATTTTGCTTTGGGTTGTCAATAAAAATAGAAATAGCAAAATGCATTACATAGTATACTGTGCTGAAAACAGGAGTGCTTAGGATGAGTGTTGTAAAAAGCACACTAGGTACAGTGTGAGCAGGGCCTGCCTTCCCCTGTGCAGCTGATCTGCAGCAAGCATCTTCTCTTGGCTTGGCAAATTGTCATATTTCTTTCTCTATTTGGATCACCTTCCTATATTTTGGCTTTCAATGTAGATATATCTGCAGTAGTTCTCTATTTCTAGCAGTGCCTCTCCCATTTTTAATCTCAGTCCTCTTCAGACTGGTTTACTTGCTTAAATAGGAGTCCTGTCCCTCACGTCTTCTGAACGTGAATGTGATTCTTTGGAATGGCAGCACTGTCAGCATCCGAGACCAGCCTTTTCTTCTAGAATTTCCTATGTGTGTGATCTCAATCTACTCCAGTCTTAGTGTGTTTCCTTTCTTTGCTGAATAGTCATCCTTATTGAGTCTTCTTTCATTCCACTTTTGTGAAGTGTCTCGTGGAGTTATCACTGGGAGACAAATGTATTCTCCTATTAACCTTTGAGGAAAGCCAGGGAAAATCCCAAACACCCCTGCTCCAGATAGTGTAAATAAGTTTTATTCAGCCCATTCCTAACTCAGAGGATTGTCAAGCTGCAAAGCCATTCTTTTCAACCATTCTATGTATGAAACATTTCCAAGTTCACCACAGATACTCATTGGAAGAAAGGGATATTCTGACTTTTCTTCTTCCTTTTCAGGTAGCTTATGATGCAATCAAAATCCCAAAGTGGTTGGCTTTGTCACAAATGCACCCTGTGGATTATTATTCCTCCTATGCAAAAAACTGCACTGGAAAGTTTACTGAAAATGAAATTAAGAACATTAGAGCATTTTATTATGCTATGTGTGCTGAGACAGATGCCATGCTAGGTAGGTGGTATAGTTAATAAGCAATTTCATGAAGAGAATGTTTTTTCAACAAATTGTGATTGTGCTAGTTGGGGCTTGCAGGAGCTTCCTCAGATATTTCTTAAAGCAGTTGCTTAGATACCTAAGACTTAGAACTTTGAGACTCTTGACTTACAAAAATACTTTAATAACAGAATAAAGGGCCCTTCCTATTTTAATTATTCATAAGTTTTCAGATTTGTTCATGCATAAAGAAGACTCATAGAAAGCTGTTTTCTATTTGAAGCAAAATACAATTGGCCTTAAACAGGTCTGTACTTCGCTAAACACAGGCATGTGGCAGGTAATTGTAAGGCAGCTTATTTCCAAGAGATGAAGAGTTGGACATTCCAAACACTGATGGAGAGGCATCAGTTTGGTGATTTGTGACCACGAATTCCTTCTGTGGAACCTGAGGATTTGCTGAATGGTCCTCAGACGCCCAGTGGATAGACACATAGGGAAATTTAGAGTAGAAAATCTCTTTAACTTTTTTCAAGCATGTTAATTTCTTACACACGCTTTGTATCATTAGGTGTCAAGTAATAATTTTATGTAAAGTTAGAAAAAAATCACCTGCTGATAAAAGTTGTAGATGAAATTATTTCTATAAAATCATTCATATGTATTAAAGTGAGAAAATTCCAATACAAATCTTATGATTACTGGGAATGTCAATCTTGGGAGTGAGGCAGATGGTAGGTTAAGGTGTTGTAGAGAGAGCTTAGCACTAGTGTTTGCTTCACCGTATCATTTTAAGCGTGTTTAAAATGCATTCCAGAAGCTGGCGGTATAGCATAGTGGTTAAGAGTAACTGCTGCTCTTGTACAAGACCCATGGGTCAATCTACAGTTCCAAAAACGATCTGTTTTTAGTGTTAAGCCAATGGAAACAGAGGTCCATGTCTGTTTCCTGTATTCTTCTCACTCAGAAAGATCAACAGATGTCAATCAGCATGTACATAGTGTCCTAGAAGAAAACGTTAAGACCTACAAACAAATCCATTCCCCCTAGACCCTTTAGAGTAAGGCTTTCCCACAGCTCAGATCCATTTCCTCTGAAGACTGCAGTCATTGGGTTTCCTGACACTCAGGCTCAAAGGCATCTCAGACAAGCCTGCCTCAGTAAGATGATTGTAGAAGGGTTCTCACTGTCGCTGGAAGCTGGAACGCTGTTTCCAGTTCCTACTGAAGAAACCTTGTTTTTAAAAATAACTGCTTTGATAACAAGTTATTTTTACAACATTGTTTCACTTACTTTGCTATATTTTGGGATAAAACACAACTATATTGGGGAAGTGTGGGCAGCACCTCTTTCTACACACCAAAGCACTTTGAGAATAACTACCCAGTGTTGTTAGAAGTACTCACTGAGTAAATAGCATAAGACAGAAAGAAAAAAGGAAGGTATATGGATATATTATTTACATAATCAATGTAAATATGAAAAAGTAACAAGGACTTTCCAAGTTCTGTGGGGGGGGGGAAAGATGGGGTAGGGGCTGTCAGGGGTTCATGTTGCCAGATTAACCTTGAATCTACTGTATAGCAAAGGCTGGCCTTGAATTCCTGATTCTTCTGCTGCTGTCTCCCAAGTGTTAGCATTATTACACACCACCACACCTGGCTCCAAGTTCCCCCTCATTAGGACACTAGGACAGTAATATTTTAAGTGTTTCTTTAGCCATAACTCTATCTGAAAATTGAGTTGTATTTCATTGATATTTCCTGACATTAGGGAGTATCTAAGCATCTGCATCTTCAAATTGCTTTCACAAGTTTGCAAGTGCATCTTCTCAAGTGAAAGAGTGTATACTCAATGCTGCTGTAGGGAGTGAGACAGTACAGCTCTTAAGTGTCTTCACAGAAAAGAAAATTAGCAGATGCTCAGAGGTAAGCAGACTGTGGTAAATATGATGTAAATAGTAGAAGGTGTGAATGAAATTAAATGGTGAATTTTCTCATTTTAATTTACATAGAAAAAATTTCGTAAAAGTAATTTCATCTACAACTTTCATCAGCAAATGATTTTTTTCTAACTTTACATTTACATTTTTTTTCTAATATAGTATCTGGGGTAGATATTTCCGAGGAGATAGATGGTTTGTGAGCCAAAAACTGAGGAAAAAGTCAGCCATGTAAATAGCAAAAAGGCAGGCAAAGCAGAAAATATAAAGACTCTGGGATGAAGAAATAATTGTAATGTCTTAAGTTAATGTGTTATTTCTTATTTAGAGAGATGAATAAGATTTTAAATATACCTTATATTTTTAACCTTATATGCTTTATAATATATACCTTCTTAATGCTTGTACATTAAGAGAGAAGTACACAGAAAGAATTTTATTTCTTAATAGTATTCAACATAGTGCCCAACACAGAACCTGATAGCTCAGGGTTCATTAAACAAACATAGTCCAGCCAGCAAGATGGAGCAACAGTAAAGAGCTTGTCACCAATCACATGGAGGAAGGAGAAAACCACCTCCCAAAGTTGTCCTCTGACCTCTGCCCTGATGCTATGGCTCATGTATGCATATAGATGGGTATACATATAGATAAACACCAGGGTATATATTATTGCAGTTGTAAACAAACCATAAGGAGTTTAGAGAACGAGTGATTGGATGTGGAGGAGCAGAAAATGTAAATGTTGCTTTTATTTCCTCGGAGGCCAGATGTAAATGTAGCTTTTATTTGTCAGATGATGTCTCAAAGGCTTACTGCTGAATATGCTCACCCTTTCTACCTCTTTCTGAATTCTGGCTAGCTGGATCAACTCAGTTGTTCTGGCTCAAACTCCTCTCCAAGCTGGCTGATTCGATCTGTTCTTTCAGCTTCTCACTGAATTGTTCTGCTTGGCCTCAAACTAACTCTGGAAGTCTGTTATAATCTTCTGGCTCCTTCTCATTCTCTGGCTTATTCTGTCTTCACCTTCAGCCTGTCTGTGTAAAACTGTGCTCTCTCTCTCTCTCTCTCTCTCTCTCTCTCTCTCTCTCTCTCTCTCTCTCTCTCTCTTTCTCTCAATCTGTGTGTGTGTGTGTGTGCGCGTGCATGTCTTTCTCTCTGTTACTCTTTTAAGTCACCTCTTTTTCCAGTGGCATTTTTGTGAGAGTTGGGTACATCCTATGTCTGACTGATCCTGTCAAATCCTTCTCTGATTCATCACTTTGCCTGTCTCTGAATTAGACATAATTTCAAATATGATTGCTTTCTTCTAGAAACTAACCTCACCTACATTATTAAGGATTAAAAGTAAGGGCATGTCTGTATTTCAGCCAGAGGGATTAAAGGTGTACATTACGAACAAATCTGTATGCCACCTGGATATTCCATCTGCATAACACTGACCTAGGTCTTTGTATGATTCCTCACTCAAGGAGCCATATTGCTGGATCACATTGCCTCCAAAGAGAAGGCTTCACCAGCTAATGCTGGAGCTTGGTCATAACGAAGGGGAAAACATGACGGAAGTATAGGAGAAAGGGCATTCACACAGAGGCAAAAGCACAATCTAATACACTTGTCAGTGTCTACTGTGTGGTCTAGGACAACTAGATTTACCAAATAGTTTAGGATGCTAAGTATAGAGAACTTAAGATGAAGAACTTAAGAATGTTAGTGTCCTGCTAAAGAATCAGACATAGGGAAGCCGCAGAAGGGCTAAGTCCAAGAACACATGCCTCTGAACATGCCTAATATTATCTGAAGTTTTAATTAGACATGTGAAAAGACCAGGTTATCAGATCTTTTAAAAACAGGATATCCATTAAGTGTACAAGAAATACGACTGAGGGGAAAAAGGAGTCAGGTGGGGTTGAGGGGGAGATCTGATTAGTAAGCTCTGACTGGACCTACAATATGTGTATTTAATATAGATTTTTGCACCCCAAAATTCAAAATCTACCAAAATGAAGATAATTCTTCCTTTATTGTGATTGTCATAATTCCAGTGAGGAGCAACTTCCAAGCCAAGGAGACAAGAATGTTCTCAGAATGTTACTGCTCAGTTAACATGGCCTGGGCTTGTGTTGTCTGTGTAGCTCACCCTTCTTTAAGGGCGGGATACCCATAACTCTAAGACAGCTTTAGGAGCAGAAAAGGGCAGTTGCATAAGGGGCTAGGACCAAAGGTAGCAGGGAAGTTCTGAGTGCTTTTAACTCCTGTTAGTGTGCAGAAATTATGGGTCAGAAGTGACAGCGATCTTTATTATTAACATCGGAATCATGTACAGTAGTGACTCCAGACTTGCCTGTCTTTCCTCATTTGAAGCACTAAAAGGAAGAAGCCCCCTAGCCTCAGGTTTCTCTGACAGGAGTATAGAACTCAGGACAGCATGACATCAGGTAAAGGAGCTGAACAGGTGATCAGATAGATACTGTCTGTCCTCTTTCCTCTCTCCAGTCTGCCAGCTGAGGAGAAAGCATGTACAAACTGTAGATTTCATTCAAGATGGTAAGAAGTATCCCAACAAACTTGGTCCAGTTGTGTGATGAACCAAAACACAAATTAAAACTAATTTTTCTTGATTTTTATGGTAGGTAAGATTATTTTGGCTCTTCGAAAGTTAGATCTTCTTCAGAAAACTATTGTTATATATACTTCAGACCATGGAGAGATGGCTATGGAACACCGCCAGTTCTATAAAATGAGTATGTATGAAGCTAGTGCCCATGTTCCTTTTTTGATGATGGGACCAGGAATTAAGGCCAACCTACAAGTACCAACTGTTGTTTCTCTTGTGGATATTTACCCTACTATGCTTGGTACGTACTGTAGTTGTATTTGTAATACTGAGAAAAAACACAAGCAAAGTATTCAGAATCCTGCCTTGAGCATCTCAGTTACAGAGTCAGTCGTTCTCTGAAAGGCAAGGATAATGGCCCACAGATCTATGGCCTTCACCCACTTCAGACATATTCTCTTCAAATGATTCACAATCAGGATATGACTGTAACTTTATTTTATTTATACAACATTCAACTTTCTACCACCACTTCCCTAAAATCTAAGTGTTTTCACTATGGAATCTTTTGTCCACTTTTTACAAGGTGCATTGGTTACTTTTCTGTTGCTGAGACAAAGCACCTTGGCCAAGTCTACTTTTAAAAGAAATCATTTAATTGGCTTATTTTTTTCAGAGAGTGAGAGTTGTGATGGTGGATCATAAACATAGCATATAGTATAGGAACAGCTGAGATATCTCAATCCACATCCATGAGGGAAAGAGAATACACTGGGAACCACACCTCAGGTATTCTCTGACAGAAACATAGAACTCAGGACAGCAAGACATCAGGTAAAGAAGCTGAACTAATAGATACTTTCCTCTCTTTTTTTTGAAACTTCAAAGCCTGCCTCCAGTGACACACCTCCTCCAACAAAGCTATACCCCCCTTTTTATCCCCTCTGTGAAGCCCTGGCTGTCCTGGAACTCACTCTATAGACCAGGCTGGCCTCATATAAAGTAATTTTGACTGAGGATCCTTGTTTTCAAATTTCAAGCTAGCTAATGTTCACCGAGACTGAACATCTAAGATCGAAGTACTGTTATAGTATTATAATACCTCTTGCCGAAATGAGGTCAGAGGAGTTACCAACTCACTCGAGCCAGCACCTCAGTCTAGGAAGTTAGGCTGCAAATCCACATATGATCTCTAGTCTGCAACTCTTAGTGATAGAAAAATATAGATGATGTTTCTGAATGTTCAGATAACTCCAAAAAGAATTAACATAAGAACAAACAAACAAAAACAAAAAACATTTTCCTTTTGTTTTGAAGACATTGCTGGGATTGCTCTGCCTCGAAACGTGAGTGGATACTCATTGTTGACACTGTCATCAAATACATCTGCAAATGAACAGGCATTCAAAGTCCACCATCCACCTTGGATTCTGAGTGAATTCCACGGATGCAATGCAAATGCTTCCACCTACATGCTACGGACTGGCCATTGGAAGTACATAGCCTACTCTGATGGTGCCTCGGTGCAGCCTCAGCTCTTCGGTAAGCTGCTTGATACAGATTAAGTGTACCACATGCTTAAGAGAGTCAATAATTGTTTTTCAAATAAATGAGTACCTGTTGCTTCTCAGGCTGGGATGGGCTACAATAGGCCGCTCCAGCCTCATGGTTTAGAGTGAGTGTTAATTTAGGTCTAGTCTCAGTTCATAAAACCTACATATGCTCTAGTCTGTGCCCGCTGGTGGTAGTATGAGCTGTCAGTGTTCAGTTAATGAACGAGGAGCATCTGCCTCGAACATCAGCACCTGAAACCAGAGCCTGCACAAATCTGCTATCCAGGTCTCATCCAACCATGGTTCCTAGAGCAGCCTTTCGTGCCCGTTGTTTCTCCATCACCAGTCAACATTCTCATTACACCTAAGTTTCATTGATTCCAGATGATTAATGCCTAGCTCTTTGGAAGTTGACACAGTCTAACTACATAATTTAATGTCACCACAGTGCTATGAGATTGCACCCTTCTCTTTGCTTTACAGAGAAGCAAACCTGGGGGTCAACTAGCTTCACTCTCAATGAATTCATTTTTAAACAGCATTTTTTAATTTATTGTTTATCTTATCTTTTCTCCCCATATTCTACATAAAATAGGGTCAAGGCCATTGTTAATATTTACTGCTTCCTAAGTTTGAATCCTAGTTACAAATATAAAAGTTATTAATTAGAAATAATTCTTTAGATGCCAAACATCCTTAAGTTTTAAGGACCAGGGTATTTGGCTTCCAACAGAAACTCATGTACATTCGATGTTGTTGTTAAATGAAATCTGCAGAGCTCCTAAGTCTGGCTCAGCAAACCTAACCCCTCAGAACAGCCAGTGCCGCAGCTCAGTGCCATGTAATCAAGCTGTCTTTCACAACAGCTAATCCAAAGGGTCTCACCTCTTACCACCTTTCTATAGTGAGTCCCCCTCCATTTGACCATTGACAAAAAGTGGTGTTATAATCTGTTGTCTGTTTCCAGTTTCTGATTTCTTCACCCTTTCTTGGCTTGAAAACCCTCCTTTTCCCTCTCTTCCGCCTCTTCCTCCCATATCAGCTCATCATAGTACTTTGTTTTTAAGTAGATATCTAATTCATTAATGAACTACTAAAGAAAATTCAATGGCATCTTTATAGTTGTTGAAATTTTTGGCTTTAAGACATATTCTGCGATGGTCAAATATGACTGAAGAGTCAATAGGTGCACCAGTCATGACATGATCCTCTAGCATTTATCCATGGATACTCTTTCCTAAAGAGAAGCTATACTTAGTCAACTAGCAAGATTACATCTGCCTTCAGGCATCTCCTGGCCAGTGTGCTCAATAGGCTCATAAAAACAAAAGCCTTTAATTAGTAAAACATCATTAAATGTCATATTGTATAGACCTCTGAGGTTTTCAAGACCATGTGTCTATCTGCACTATATCTAAATAGTTTGTTTCTAGTGGTCTACCATCTGCTTAACTTTGAAACCATCTGTAGAAAGCTAAATGAAGGTTAATTCCATAATTAACTAAACTAGTACCTAACATGACCATAAGTTTGATTGACTAACTCTTAACTTGCATTTTTTATTTATCCGAAACCATTTGTAAAGCAATTTTCAAAAGAATTTAACATTGCATGTTTAAGAAATAGGTACAATACCTTAAACAAGAGTTGAAACATATATACAGTATACAGTAACAATATATAAACTTAAATTTGTATCAATATACAAAGTCCATATCAATGTAAAAATATTTGGCTTGTTAATGTTCTTTAGTCTAAAAGTAGATTCAATGATTAAGTTTTTATCCTATTATCCCTATATCTCTCCCTTTTTGCTTTTATCCCTACTTCCCCTTTTTCTCTTAATACTAGATAGATGAGAAAGAAGGATAGAGAAAAGAAGGCAAAAAAGAAATCTCTGAATCTAACCTCCCTTACTTGGTTTCCTCCCTGACCAAGCCCACTAACAATGTGTAACCAACCCCCTTTTAACAACAACAAACATCTACCATCCAAACATCTGTCATCCGATAAATGACCAAAAAGCATCTGCCCCTACTGGGAATGGAGACATTGCTCTCTTAAAATTGCTTCCTGCTGGTGGTACCATTTGGGGGGTGGGGTATATTGGCCAGTCTTAAGAAAGCTAACTATAACATTTGTTGTCCAGACTTTGGGGAAAATGCAGGACTTAACTGAAGTCCTAACTGCAATAGTGTGTGTGCTGGGAATTGAACTCTGGAAGAGCCCCTGGATATAGACTTTTAAGAAAACACCAATTGAGGCGCTCTAAGATGTAGGATCTCCTGGGCTACTTGTCTTATCTTCTTTGGTGTCTGTTCCTTTCACTCTACAAACATATAAGCTTTCGAAGGTACATCTTTATATTAGCACATGTAAGGAATGTGCAGTATCCACAATTCAGCTAAAGATGATTCTCTGCTCTATGTTTGATTAGGAAAAAGATATCAAACTTTATAAATCCATTTTGGCAGTAAACAGAGTCTGGATTCTTAACTCATTATATTGCATCTCTATGGGCTGCCATCTAATTTTTCAAGCTTTTGTGGCTTTTTCTCGTCTGGAACTACTTTTTCTACAGTTGTTGTAGGCTCCAGATTAGATTCTTCTGAAAATTCTTTATTCTGATTTAAAGAGTCCTCCAATCTCTGTTCTGTGTCCTCCAATCCAGCGTTTAACTGTTCAGTCTTCTCGTTCTCTAAGTCTGCTTTATTCTGACTTTTCTTAAAGAAGATATATAAAATTGGAATTATTACTGAATATATAGTTAGTTTTGTGTTGACAGTCAAGACAAAACGATATGGGATCCAAATGCCTTTTTTATAGTGTTTTTCATTTTTTGATATGGTAAATATTTTTAATTTCTCTCCTTTTTTGGGGGAGGGACTATGCTTTAGTTGTCTTTCTCCTTTCTTTAGAAATTTTATTTTATTTTTCTCTCTTTCTCCTTTATTTGGAGACTTTATTTTCTATGTGCATTTATTTATTTCTATTATTATTCTCTAAGCTTAATTATCTTTTTCTGTATTTGATTTTCTCTAAACTCTTTCCTCTGAGGAATTTTTTAATGTTATTTAATTCTCTCTTTAAGGATTTTATTTTGTTATTTTCAAACTAAGTATTTGTTTCAAACTTACACATTACCAGTTCAGAAATTTGAGGATTTTCAGTCTCACCAGAGCTTTAACAAAATGTTCCTTCTGTCCTGTGTGTCTGCAGGCTCCTCAGACCAGCATGTGACTATGGCAGCTAGCTCTGCCCCCTCAGCTGAACCTAATCCTGGCTGAGATGAGCCCATCTACCTCAGCTTTGGGACAGTTCACTGTGAGGACTGCCATGAGGCTCCAGTTCCCCACTTGCTACCCCCTGCTCACAGCCCTCTGCTCACTCTCTCTTAAAGGGATTTAACCTCTCTCCCAGAGAGGTTCTGGGAGGTATTTGCTTGCACCTTCACCTTGGGGCTTTCCTGAACCTTTTGTTCTAAGCTTGGATTTTTAGCTAGGTTTGGCTTATATGTCCCCCATTGGCACCATTTGTAACCACACTTTTCACCATCCCCCAGTTCCCAAATAACAACTCTGAGACTTAATTAGTTATGATAATAAATGCCTAGGCCATAAGCTTGGGCTTGTTCCCTGACTAGCTTGTAACCTATATGTCCTGGGTTGTTTTTTTGTTTTTTGTTTTTTTCTATTTTATGTGTGCCACAAGCCTGGTTACCTGTTCACAGTTTCATGTGTCCTTCAGAGTCCCAGTGGTGAATCCACCTACCTCTGACTCTTTCCCAGAATTCCTCTCTCTCTGCCAGTGTCCCACTTTCTAGTCCTTCCTCAGCTCATTTCTACCATTAAAGAGCACACATAAGGAAAGGAGTGGGGGTGGCAGAATGATTCCATTAGGATATTTGTTCATTCTTCAACACGAGTGTTTCACATTTAGTATATTATCCATGACTATTCTGTGCTTCACAACCATTGACTAAAACATACCGAGTCATTATGAGATGCAATGTTAGGAGAGCATGGTTATGAACATGGTATGCTGCTAATGTGAATGCATACTGCCCATCTTACACCAAGAAGAAAGGAAAAGGAAAATAAATCCTTTTCATTGGATATTTTATTTATTTACATTTCAGATGTCATCCCTTTTCCCCATTTCCCCTCCCTGGAGCCCCCTAGTCAATCCCCCATCCTCCTTTTTGCTTTTATACCATTTTAATTACATGCAAGTATTAAGGTCAGTTCTAGGTTGAGAGACTAGCAATACAATAGATGCAAATAGTCAAGGAACAAGCAAGACAATAAACACAAATACAAAGTAAATCTTACTATATAATCTGTCACAGTGATAGTCTAACAAAACTATTTTAGTTATTTAGTTATTTCTTTTCTTTCAGATCTTTCCTTGGATCCAGATGAGCTAACAAACATTGCTACAGAATTTCCAGAAATTACTTATTCTTTGGACCAGAAGCTTCGTTCTATTATAAACTACCCTAAAGTGTCTGCTTCTGTCCATCGATATAATAAAGAGCAGTTTACCATGTGGAAACAAAGCATAGGGCAAAATTACTCAAATGTTATAGCACACCTTAGGTGGCATCAAGACTGGCAAAAAGATCCAAGGAAGCATGAAAATGCGATCCGACGGTGGCTCCGCAGCCCACAGCAGTCCACCAGTGGCTCGCAGCCCACAGCAGTCCACCAGTGGCTCGCAGCCCACTCTTCTCCAGGAACAGTAAACAATAGTAAAACTTTCTAAAGCTATATATGAATGTGTTGGTAAGTATTAAACTGAAAGTCTTAGCAATTGCCAATTTACTTACTTTCAAAATATTTACTATATCTTAAGTGCCAATGACCACAGAACGCATATTTTCAAAACTAGTTATAGTAAGTCCTTATTGTTGCAGACCTCTGACAGTTTAACATCAGAAGTTAGAAGCAAGCATTCTCGTTGTTTCCCTGGATAATACAGAATATGAAATATTTTAAAAACCATCAGTTATTATTTATAAAGCATGATGTTTCATGACTTACTAGGTTTTTGATGAAATTCTTTGGATGTATTTGATGTGTTAGAACTATTTAATGGGACATAGATTCTGGATATAGTTGATTTTATTTTGTTGTTGTTGTTGTTTAGAAAAAGAAAAGAGAATATGAAGCTCCCTTCCTTTCTTGGTCAGCTCCCTCCAAAGGGCAACCACAATCACCTTGCTTGTATCCTTTTGTGGGCAAGCTATACATTAGCCACCAACCAAATGAACATATTCTTTACATATACATGCAGGCATACACACAATTGATAATGTGCTATATAGTGTTTCTTCTGGCATATTGTGTTCTGGCTGTTATTTTCTAGTTCCAATTAACAATAGATGCTGAGAAGTAAACTTGCTGAGCCAGAATCTATAAAAGTTTCTGTAGATTTTCCCAAGTTGCTTCTAGCAGTTGGCATTCCCACCAAATATTTTATTTTTATTTATTGTGAGTACTGACATTTTTTCATAGATCTAATAACCACTAGAATTTGCATCAGAATGACTTTCCCTGTGTCTGTTGACCATTTTCTCTATAGGTTGTTAGCATTGTTTTTCTGTTACACGCATGCTTTTAGATATTAGCCTTTCGAAAAGCAAAAGAGAAAAGAAGGACTAGAGACATTGTTCTGTGGTTCAGAGCACTTGCTTCATCATAGGACTAAGATCCAATTATTGGCACCCACACAGTGGCTCACAATTTGCCTATAACCCTAATTCAGGGGAGCCAATGCTATTTTCTGGCCTCCAACTGAGCCTGGCAAACATGTAGTGCACAGACTAAATTAAGGCAAGACACTCATTCACATAAAATTTTAAAAATAGTGAACAAATCTTTTTTTAAATACTGGAAATAATATTTTTCTAGTTTGTCTTTTGATATTGACCTGGAGGAAATTTGTATTTTCTTATAACATATTGATAAATCTTTGTACAAAATAAATGTTATGATTTCTTAAATTAAAATATTCTTTAAAATGTTTTAAATCTTTATTTTGTGGCTTTAAGAATTTGTGTCCTGTTTAGAATGCTCTTCTCTCTGATGTTCATAAAGTTTTGTTTATAAGTTTTAGCCCTTAGATCCATGTAGAATATTTTACATATTAAAGATCTAACTTTAGTTTACAGTGTTGCTGTTTTCCTTCGTTTTGTTTAACTGCTAACCTTTTGTTGGGTTGACTGTACCTTCTCCTACTGTACTCCATTATCTATGTCTTAGGTTGGTCATCATCTCTTCCTCCACTGATCTGACTGATTACATTAGGTTCCCATCCATGAGTATGCCCTTTCTGAGTCTTCTGCCTCATACATGTAGAAGTCCTGTTACTCTGGGGCCCAGTGCCACATGTAGTATTCTCTTTTGTCTCAGCTACTCTTGTTTAATTTTTCCATACAAATTTGGACTAATTATCAAAAGGCGTAATTCTTTTTTTTTCTTTTCATTTTTTGTTGTTTGGTTGGTTGGTTGGTTTGGTTTGGTTCTTGAGACAGGGTTTCTGTATACAGCTGTGGCTGTCCTGGAACCTGACTTTTTAGATTAGAATGGCTTTGAACTCAAGAGATTTGTCTGCTGCTGCCTTGAGGTCTGCTTAAAAATCCTTTGAAATAAGGTAATTAAATGTATAGCCTAATTTAGAGAGAATGAAGTTTTTAAGGACAGTCATTCAGAACATAGTCTACTTTTTCTCTTTGTTTAACCCTTGGCATAGAGGCCAGCCTGGGCTACTAAGACCTTGTCTAAAAAGGAAAACCTAGCCCCCATTCACAAGGATGCCTGAGCACTGTCTCACTACTATGTCTGTAAAACCCTCCTGTGATCCCAATGTGAAGCTAGTGTGAATTTATTCCTGGTTGTTACATTATTTATTCTGTTTGGTTGTGGAACATCCACCAGAGAAGACTGGTTAGACATGGGTTTAAGCCAATATCAGGCAGGCACCTACACTAGGTGTTCAAATCCTAATATAGCTTCAAGCCTTTCTCAGGCTGAGCTTTTAAGCACAAAAAATCATGTCCTAGGTTGGCATACTTCAGTTAACAAGAACAGAGCTACAGAAGCTGAAAAGCAAGGTGAATACGTTTGAGTCTGAGAACTATGGACTTTAATGGATTAGCCTTGGTTTTAGCTTTGGGAGATGGTGCTGGTGAGTGTTACAGCCTAAATGGTGAGTCCATTAGAAGACCAGCAGTCTCAACTAACACGGATCCCTGAGATCTCTCAGACACTGAGCCACCAACCAAGCAGCATACACTAGCTGGTCCAAGGCCCCCTGACACATGTACAACATGCCTGGTCTGGCCTCAATGAAAGAAGATGCCCCTAACCCTTGAGAGACTTGAGGCCCCAGGGAGTGGGGAGGACTGGCAGGGTATGTGGAGGTGTGGGGACATCCTCTTGGAGACAGGGGATGAGGAACTGTCAGAGGGCAGAACAGGAGGGGGATAATGATGGGCTATTAAAAAAAAAGATGAATGATAATATTTTTTAAAATAGAAGGAGGAGGAGGATGTGGGGGAGAAGGCCAGGGCCAGCTCATCCTATTGATACTGCATGACCACAACTGATGCTGGCAAACCAAACAGCAGTAGTTGCCATTTTCCATGGAAAACAACTAGTTTTTAAAATCGATATTTTATCAATTCTTTCAATGGAATAAACTTTCAGTGGTAGAATCTTGCTATACAGTTTATGAGAACATTCCAACAAACTTTAGAATTACTTTGAGAAATAATTGAACTGACATTCGGTAAGACATTCATGGGCTGCCAAGTACTGCTCAGAAATGGAAGACTGGAGCACATGGTACCAGAAACTCTCCGCTGTAGCCATCGTTCCTCTTCATGGTCCAGCAAAGAAAGACATCAGCATCCACACACCCCCAGACCTTACTGGGCTGTTCTATATGATAGGCATGAGAAGCATCTGATGTGATACATTTATAGTCAAGGCCAGAATTATGCTCAAAGTTATCTGATATGCATTATATAGGCACTAATTCATCAACTGGATGCATAGTGACTGATTGATATCTGCAACATATTGGGACCATTATGAGGTGCTGGATGGATAATGAAAGTGATAAATGTCTCCAACCAACATGATAGACCTTAGAAAACGAGATTCTACAGCAATCAGAATGATATGTATCTTACCAAATCCTCCTAACCCATGTATCTGTAGGTTTCAAACATTACCTCAGCCTGGGAAGCGACAGACACCCACATCTCCCCGGCCCAAGACCAGGAAGTACAGGAAATTCTACTTTCACCATGATTAATGTGATGAGTGCACAAAGACAAATTGAATCTTCCAACGGGAAAACTGAAATTTGTTTGTGAAGTGAGGCTAAAAGTGGCAGCAGTAAATCTAAACCATTTCCTGTGAGCTGGATTTCTTTTTTAAAAATTGGCCGCCGTATCGTTTTCTTAGTCACCTTTTCTCTGGGCTTATTGGAGGCGTAGACCCTCCTAGCAACCTCCCATCTGCTGGAAAACAGAATCAGGAGAAAGAGGAGCCCGCGTGATACATTCCTCGCTGGAAGAAAATACTAGGGGGACCCAATACATGAACCACCATTTGTATAAAAACCAGTTAGTGCCCTCTTCAGACTGACAAAATGAGTTTCGCATCACTGAGAGGAGAGAGCAGCTGCCATCCCCTGATACTAGTAAAGAAAGTATTGGAAAACATCTGCAGACCTCTCTGTTCCTAATTGCTAGGCAACGGGAAGGCTCTTAGTTCTCTCCAATTAAACCTCTCCCGCTGCAGGCAGTGGAAGGTGAGCCCTGTCAAAGGCTCATCTAATGACTCTGCTCAAAAAGCTGTTAGTACTGTTAGGGTTGGGTGTAGTTCTGTGGTAGACTGCTTGCCCAGCGGGGTCTAAAATAGAGAAGCCTGCTTGGTTTCTTGTGTCCTTCTATTTCTCAAGCTAGTGCAGACGTGTGGCATTACAAAATGTTTTTTTGTTTTTCGTTTTTAACCAAAAGTAGTATTTGTATTTTTCCCGTTAGCAATCACACAATTGTTGGGGGAAGGGTACTAGCTGAGTCAGGAACTTTCTATCTCAAAACTGGTTCTGGGTTAACATTAATTAGCCTTTGCAGTGGTCACATACACAACTTTCTGTCTGGCTATATGCCACAGGGCAAGATTTCCAGAGCCTAGAGGTTCACAGATCCCGCTGAGGGAGGCGGCTGCATGGATTACAAGATGCTAGCTGGGATTGGGGGAGGGGGCGAACAGCGGAGAAGGTGGAGAAGAGGGATCATGTGTGTTCCTCGAATGTACAACCCACATTTGAGTGACAAATACAGAGGACAACCTGTAAAAACAACTAAGCGCAAATCCACCCACATTCATCTCTCCCTGGATGTGTGCTTTTTCAACTAACTTTGGGAAGTCGCAGAGACCCAGCGGTGTGGCCCGCGACACCTCTCCTACACTTTGGCATTTTAAGCGTTATCTCTCAGCGGTTTCTTTCTTCCGGATTAAGGATGGAAGATTCCTTCAGCTCCTCAACTCTGTCTCCGGCGTCCAATCTCTCCGTACCCATTCGGCCGAGCTGGGGTCTCAACTTGACTTCTGGGCAGGGAGCCTCTGTCCCGGGACCACAGCCGCCTCCACGCGGGCCACCCAGCCACCGGATCCATCTGGTCTTCTTGGGGATCATCCTGGTGGCCGCGGTAGCTGGCAACACCACGGTGCTCTACCGCTTGTGTGGCGGTAGCAGCCGACCCTGGCCTGGTCCCAAGCGTCGCAAGATGGACTTCCTGCTTGTGCAGCTAGCAGCGGCTGACCTGTATGCCAGTGGAGGCACCGCGCTGTCCCAGCTGGCTTGGGAGCTGCTGGGCGACCCGCGACCGGCTCTGGGCGACTGGGCTTGCCGACTTTCCCAGCTGCTGCAAGCATCGGGGAGGGGCGCCTCCGCCCACCTGGTGGCGCTCATTGCCTTGGAGCGCCAGGTCTCAGTGCGCGGTCCTCAGGGCCCGCAGCTGCCCGCGCGTGCCCTGGCTGCACTGAGCTGGCTGCTGGCGTTGCTGCTGGCGCTGCCGCCGACCTTCGTGGTGCGCTGGGGCGTTCCTCCAGCTTCAACCGCCAGCGCCTGGCCGGGGGAGCATCGCTGCGGGGGCATCTTCGCGCCCCTGCCGCGCTGGCACCTGCAGGTCTACACGCTCTATGAGGCTATCGTGGGCTTCGCGGCGCCAGTCGCTGTCTTGGGTGTCTCTTGCGGCCACCTGCTGTGTGTCTGGTGGCAGCGCGGGTCTCAGGCTCCTGTGGCTGGTATGCCCTGGTCGCCCAATATGACCCGAGCCTCCTTGACCAGTGCGCTGCCCCGAGCCAAGGTTCAAAGCTTGAAAATGAGTCTGGCACTGGCAGTGCTCTTCGTGGGCTGTGACCTGCCCTACTTCGCCGCTCGCTTGGCAGCCGCCTGGTCGCCAGGGCCCGCGGGTGACTGGGAGGGAGAGAGCCTGGTGGCGGCGATGCGTGTCGTAGAGGTGGCCAACAGCGCCGTCAACCCTTTGGTCTACCTTTTCTTCCAGGCGGGCGACTGCGGTCTCTGGCGGCGGCTACGGAGGCGCCCAGGAGTTCTGTGCTGCCTGCAGGAGGAAGAAGCGGATATCAGCGCAGGGGCTAGGGACCACCAGGCACTCCACCGCCATCGCTGGCCCCACCCTCATTATCACCACGCTCGGCGGGAGGAGCGGGACCAGGGCTTCCTGCGCCCTCCCCCGCCACGCCCCAGACCGCTGGCCTGCTCCTGTGAAAGTGCCTTCTAGGAGCTGCTGCACAGACAGGTCGTTTGTCACTGTGGCTCAGCCTTCAGACAAAACAGGGTATAAGTGGTCTGCCTAAATCTCCAAGAGTGGAACTGTCTGCAGGAACCACTGAAGTTGCCCGCATCCTGTATGCGACAGTTATTTTCTTCTAATAAGGACATGGTTTTCACTTCCGGTTAGTTTTCTTCCCTCTGGTTCCTATCATAATGCCCATGTTGAGGAGACTAAACTCTTGGAAAGTTGAAAACAACAAGAACAACTGAGTTCCCGAGTTAGTATTTTTGCACTTCTCTTTTATATTCCCACTGTGTTCTAGATAAGACCATTCATTTTAAGTAAATTGCCAAATTTTCATTCGTTGCCATTATGTTTTCAGTGATTTTTGAATTGTGCTTAAATCAAGTGCTTCTTTAGGGAACAGCAAATTTGCTGTTCCTTCCAAGAGGAAAACCCCTATAATGCTCTTCCTGGGGAGATCTGGAGTCCTGCTAGCAAAGCTGTAGGAAAGAAATCATACTGACACTTTAGGGACAGAGCATTTGAAAAATGAAAGCATTTCCCACCTAGCCGCTAGAACACTTTTTTAACATGGTAATGTGTTTTCTAGGAAGAAAATGGGTGTGATTTTTATTTCCAGTTTAACTTCCACATCAATAAGAACTGAGAGTCCAGGAGGAGAGCATAGGCTTCTTTCAGTTCTTTCCAAGCGTTCCTGTATTCTGTTAGACATAGAGCTATTGTGCCCAGACCAGCTTCTAAGTCTGTCCACATTAAAGTCCTAAGGGCAGTCTTGAGGGAAAGTGTCAAGTCGATGTGCCAGGGTGGGACTCGATTTTCCAGTGCTCCGAGATCTGCAGGAGAAAGCTGAGTCCAGCCTGTGTTAAACAGTTTTTAAAACTGTTTAAAAACAAACCCAAACAGGAGTAGTAGAACGTGGTGTTCTGTGAGTAGTAGCCCTGCCAGCGATCCCAGCACCCAGGTAGGAGCATTGTCTTGAATTTGAGGCCAATATCAACTAAGTAGTGAATTCTAGAATAGCCTGGTCTACACTGTTAGATTCTGTCTTAAACAAACAAAACAATGTCTAGCTATTCATGTGAGTCGAAGAGGATTAAATCAGGGAACAGTTGATGCTTGAGCTCCTCCTCGTAACTGTTCTTGCTTCTGAGGGAAGTCACAGCATTTCTGAGCACTATACCAATGTGCCCAGCACCGTGCTGACCTGAGAACTCACAGCTTTCACATAGTAAGTGTGCCACTAAGAGGCAGAAGGGAAGGGACTGGCTAAAGCAATTACACAAGTAATAATCTCTGAGGACTGTGTTTTGTTCATGGTTATATTTATATACTTCCACAACATGTGATACATAGGACCCACTCACTTGTGTCATAGCTTAGAAGCGTAGGCATAGGTAGGATACATAAAAGATAAGCTAAAGGAAATCTACATTCCTCCAGAACACTTTTTCTTAGTGGATACACCGGTTCAGCCCATAGAGAAGGAACCCAGGTCTCTCCTCCTTTGTACCACTTGGATGTTTGGATCCTGGAAGTTGGCATCATCTTCCTCACAGAGGCTAGCTTATTTAGCTGAGCTGCCAAGAAATGGCAGGTGTGAAACAGCAGCTACTCAAGGTACATTTATCCTGCTTGCTCAACCCAGCAACAACCTAGAGGTGTTCTGTGAGAAGCTAGTAAGGGCTTCACTTTACCTAGCAAGATTGTGTTCTTTCATCAGCTCCCTATGAACTCAACATCATTTCCCCTACTCTCTTGCCCCTGGAGGGGACCTTGCTATAACAGAAAGGAGTCTGTCCAAGGAAGGTCCGGAATACACTGATGCTCAGAAAACTGTCTCTAAGAACCTTCTGGGTAAGCTAGGTGGACCTGTTGATGGAAGCCAGACAACCTTGTCTTACATGAGGACATGGATCCTTCTATCTAAACTTGGGGTGAATTTGGCTCTGAGTGTTTGATTCTTAATCTTTTCCACTGAAGGTCAGCTATGCGAAGCATGTGACAGTTTGGTCAAAAGGACCCTCTAGTATTTTTCAAACTTCCTCTACACCTTACCGCTCTGTTCAAAATGCCAGAAGTGAGAATGTTACTAAGATCTTGCTCTGTTCTTCACCAGTCTTCTAGCACTGCGATCCATGCAAAGTGAGACACACTCAGCACAGAGTAGACGATAGACAGAATCTATTACAAGGTAAAATGGGCTGTTCTCCAGATCTGAAAGTGGACAGTGGACAGTGAGAGCTCTGTGGGAAAAAACACTCAACATATAAGAGCAAACAAGGGCCTGAGAGACTCTCAAAAAGGGAAATACTGTCAAAACAAACAAACAAACAAACAAACAAAAAGCTGCTTCCTAAAAAGGAAGGGTCAATCCTAAAGAGCTTTCAAGACTGTTAATATCTGGCTAACAATGTGACATGACACAAGGGAACACAGGTCATTCTCCAGCACACATATCCCTTCTTCACAGCCGTTTCTGACCACAGGGGCAGCTTCCCCCACTGGTAGAATGGAGACTCAGAGGACAGCTGTGCCCCTGATAAAGGCCAAAGGACCCCTGGATGCCCTTTCTCTTCCTCCAGAATTTGGACAATAAATGATGCTGAGCTACAGATGGTTCTTGCTCTCTTTGATCCTCCCAACCCTGATGAGTATGTTATAGTCTGAAAAATAGATCTGTAGGAGGAGCTAAGGTGGGAGACGTAAGGAGAATAAGAGGAAAAGAAAGAGGAGGAGCCAGGCGAGGGGGAGAGCAGAGATGTAGGAGGAGGAAGAGGATGAAGAGCATGAAGAGCTACACAGGTATGGAGAGCAGTCCTGGGTAACAACTGATATTTAGGATAGCTAATTGGGAAACACATACTGTTATTGAGCATTACCAAACATATAAATCCTTTGGATAATCTAAGCGTTAGAGTCTCATTTCCTACCAGGCCCACGTGGATAGAGGGATGGTCTGGGCACAGCCCAGCCTTTCAGAGACATCGTGGAAGATTGTCAGAGCCATCTCCCATGCTGGCGTCTCATGGGTGGCAGGGCCAGTGTCTCTGGCCACCTGAGCCTGCGACCTGAGCTGAGCGGCAGCGAAAATACACCGCCCACAGGCCTTGCCTAGTGGGAAACATGGCGGCCCTGATTCGCAAGACAGATCAGGTGCCACTGTTTTAAAATATCTCTCGCAACAAGTGGCAACCAATGTCTGGCACAAATTCACTAGAAATTTAAGTCTATTTCACCTGAGAGTAAAAGTTGTATTTTTTTTTTTTTGGGGAGGGGGAAGAAAGTGAGTAAGCATTGAGATAAGTCACGTGACTCCTAGCATGGGAACACTGAACAGAAAAAAAGAAAAAAGAAAAAACTGCAGCTGAGCTTCCCTGCTGTGAGGAAAAGCAGGTTGCTTTTTGTTAAGGACCGAAGGAAGTAGCTTACATTTAGAGCAGAGAGATTTGAACTGTGAATTAAAATTGAGATTATTTGTTTTTAAGATAGATTTACAAACAGTTTTGTCTGATTCACATGGGGAATCTTGCTAGGACAGCTATACATTTTAGCCTAGAGAGCTAAATAAATAAGCCTCCATTGTGGAGCAGTTACTGTATTATGTATAAAGTTACTATATAGGGATTATTTGCTTTTAGGAAAGATTTATAAACAGATTTGTCCAAATCACGTAGGGATTATCACCCATGGTTTGGAACTTAGATATGGAAAATTATCACTGGCTCTAGAGTAAAGAGTATAGTGTGTAAGTGGAGGCTGCTCTGGAGTACAGAGCCAAACAGATAGATAGTGTAAATAAAATCTTTTCTGGCAGAGAGCCGAACAGAAAGATAGTGTAAATCAGGTTTATTCAGATGATATAAAGTTATATTGCCTCACAGGAGACTTGGGTTCTGTCTAATGTGGGCCCCATGGGAATTCTGGGATCATTTCCTGCTTTGCAAAATAGAGAAAGCCTAAATAATAGACATATACAGTATTTTAGTTATTAAATTGATTTTATTTTCAAGATGGGTGTGATTTTCAGTTTTGTGATTATATTTTTCCTCTGTGAAAGAGGTCAAGATAAAGGTTTTTCTGGTTATTGGCTAAAGGATATTCTGTTTTGGGAAAAGGGTTTTGTCTGTGTGTTTTCAGAAGAGATGATTGAGATATTTTCTGGTTATTGGCTCAAGGATATACTGCTTTGGGAAAAGGGTTTTTTCTGTGTATTTTCAGAGACACCAATTAAGATATTTCTACCTCCCAGAATTATATGGATTAGACATGACAGAGTCAGGCTGCCAGAAGACTAGATTATAGAATTCAAACAAAAAATTATCTTGATACTAAAATTTGTTTTGAGAATTATATATTAGGTAATACACAGCCTTGGTGTATCTACTCATCAAGCAAGCTGAGCAGACCTGCTCGAACCTCTGATGTCCTGGAATCTCAGCTGGATGCAGTGAAGACACAGATGTCAGAGGCTTATCAATTTACCCTTCCCCTGCCCCTCTTCTAATATTTCAACACTCGTAATCAGCTTGAAGAAGTTAATAAAAAGTCGGTGCCCCAATTCCCTGGGCTTGGGGACTGAGGTGGTTAATATTAGGCTGTCCTTCTAGGGAAAGTGGTTATATTGGAACAGGGAGGAAAGCCAAAATTGATTACATAGCCATAACCTATTGGTAGAAATCTGTATAATTGTTAATTAGCTGAAGTTATTTCTTAAATGGTACAAAATTTATTTTGATTTCAAATTCAAGGGTTTCATTGGTATAATTTCTCCTATTAAGTCAAAATTGGTGGGTACAAGGCTTAGACCCAGTCCTTCTTTAATTTTTTTAACTGATTTGAGATGGTTAGCCTGTGAGTTAAGGGCCTATAGCAAATTCATGGCTCTAGGTTTATTGTTAGGGTGTTTAATTAGTAATAGCTGAGAAGATTTAATGGACAACAGTCCAGATTGCATAGATTGTTGGTTCTCAAAAACATCAGAAGTCCACAAAATTGACATTACAAACATTCCTATATTAATGTTCATTTTGATTAAAGACCTGTCTGCTCCTGACAGCTTCCCTGTCTTGGATCCTAAGAAGAAATTGAGCATCTTTGGAGTTACTCCAGATGTGGTGAGACAGCCACTAGGCAAGAATGGCCTCTTTTCGTCTACAGACAAAGTACTGTCCTGAAAAGGACACACTTGCAGAATAGTCAACTGATTATATCTGCCAAGACAGAGTAATCAGCCCTTAATAATTCTGCATCACTAGGTCTGTCCGATGATCCTGGGCCAGACGGCTGAAGATTGGATGCTCCAACATTTTAAAGTATAGGAACTGTCTATCCAAGTGTTCAACAGTCTCTACAAATTGGCTAAGTTTTGAAATCTATGCTTTGTGCTTCCCATAATTTCAGTTAATTCAGTCATTCTGGATTTCTGATGGAGTTGAGGACTTATAGTCTCATAGGCAATCCCGGCTATTGACTTTGAGAGAAAAGATTTGAGAGGATGAGTTTCAGCTAACATTCATTCTAAAGCCAAGAAAAAAGCCAGGTTCAGAACTAAGTCTTTTAGTTAGAAGAGATGACAGAGGTTCCGGTTAGTCAACAAAATGTTGGACTGGGAATTAGGTCTATCTTGTACCTTACTGATACAAAT